GATCCTGGACTTCCTGACAGGCCACCCCCAGGTGGTAAGGGTAGGTAACAACACATCTACCACGCTGATCCTCAACACGGGGGCCCCTCACGGGTGCATGCTCAGTCCCCTCCTGTACTCCCTGTTCACCCATGACTGCATGGCCAGGCACGACTCCAACACCATCATTAATTTTGCCGACGACACAACAGTGGTAGGCCGGATCACCGACAACGATGAGACAGCCTATAGGGAGGCGGTCAGAGACCTGGCCGTGTGGTACCAGGATAACAACCTCTCCCTCAACATGATCAAGACAAAGGAGATGATTGTGGACTACAGGAAAAAAAAAAAGAGGACTGAGCACGCCCCCATTCTCATCGACGGGGCTGTAGTGGAACAGGTTGAGAGCTTCAAGTTCCTTGGTGTCCACATCACCAACAAACTATCATGGTCCAAACACACAAAGACAGTCATATATTTTGATTTGTTTAACACTTTTTTTTGGTTACTACATGATTCCATATGTCTTCACTATTATTGTACAATGTAGAAAATAGTAAAAATAAAGAAAAACCCTTGAATGAGTAGGTGTCTCCAAACTATTGACTGGTACTGTATATGAATGTGTGTGTCAGAGGGTTAGGAGTATGCTATTTTATCTCTTAGGTATGAAACTGTACTGTAAGTATAGTAATCACAGTTTGAATGGGCCACCAGACATAGTATTCAGAGTCATAGGTTTACTGAGTGTTTTGTAGTGGTGCCATATTAGTAAGGCCTATGAAAGGCATGCTGTATTAAACCAACAAAATTCCTAGACCTAACCTTGGATCAAAGTGCTATTTTCACTTGTCTGATCTGACTTCTTGAAGTATGAGGAACATTAAAAGCTTAAGAGGATGTTTACAAAAGCCTGAGAGCCAGATGTAGCAAACACATTGTGGCCCCTCTGCAACTTTTGAACATTTCACCTTTGTCTTAAAAGAAAATCACACATTTTCCAAACTTACAACTTACATCACATAGTGTAGATGGTGTTTTGAGGTTCTTAGCAGTTTATCTTTTTGGCAAAGTTTCAGATGAATATTTATCTCAGCATGTTCCTGTCTGAAGTCATGGTAATTGGAGTGGATATTGTTATAACATGTGCACGCACCATGCATGCAAACACACACACACACACACACACACATACACACATACACACACACACACACACACACACACACACACACACACACACACACACACACACACACACACACACACACACACACACACACACACATACGCCTCCAGCAATGCGTTGAATAGTGTGATGTTGACATTTGAAAGGCCCCTTGTGGCCCTGGTCACAGACCATGCCCTAAACCTTAGCGGTACTAATGCAAGCCAGGACAATACAGTAAAACACTGTAGAGTAGGTTTCATTTACAAGCTAGAGTTATATGACTACATTTCAGGTATGCACTGTATGGTCCGCGTTGGCTGTACTGTACATGCCATGTGCATGGGGTACATCAATTGAACACTTTCTACAGCCATGAAAACTGTTAATGTTACACCCATGACCCCACAGCAGTATACTTCCTTTATAGAGACCAAGGCATAGCCTGGATAAAAGGTGTGTTGCACCAACTAGCTAATGAAAGGAGTGAAAAAATCGTTCTACTATCCCACTCTCAGTACAGTCAGTATCTGTTCTATAGTATCCCCACGTAAACTGTATTAGTGTTGAGAGTTTCCACTGCTCTCTTTGTTTCTCTCTCAAGAGGCCTGTCTGTTGAGCGAACAGGAACAGAGTCCCACCTTTGTCTGACTTTGACACATGGCAGTGGTGACATAGGGATGGAAGACCAGGGTGCACATTCAGAACAAGGGCAGTGCTCTTTGTTTTAACCACTGGAAAACCTTGCACAAATCTCTAGCAGGAATCACAACCCTGTTTTTTCCACTGTGAGATATGTGTTCCCCATCCAGCAACACCCAAATACCTCATAAACATAGAAGATCAAGCTGTTCTAGTACAACTTCTCTCTCTCTCCCTCAAGACCCCCTGCCCCTCTCTCTTTCACCATCCTTGCTTATTTTAAGCTCTCTCTCATTCTCTTTGTTGAGTACAATTAGTACCTCTTATTGTGAATCTAACAACACAAGAAGAAAAAATGAAAAGTTCCTGTTCTAAGTGCCCTGGCGGGATTGGAGTGCCCACCAGGAAGTGTTGGTTAGGATGGCAGGCAGTTCAGGTGGCAGAGAGTCCCAGCAGAGGTGACCAGGACAGGAAACATATGGAGATAGGAGACCAACATTCTGACTTCCAACCCCCCACATCCACCCCCAACAGCAAACAGCAGAGAGGCCCACATGCCACCACCCCATCAGCTTCATCAGGCAAAATAACAAAATAAAGTTTCAAATAACAATTTGTCCCATGGATGGCTGAAGCTCCAACTGCAAAATCATCAGTAACTAGATCTTAAACATGGATCTAAGTTATGCGGCAGGTGACAGCACTACCAATGTTTCTTCAATTAGTCATGTCCTTCCTCATAGCCGACTATGAGCCAGACCATAGTGACTGGTTTTAAGGCGACGTGTTACGTTACAAAGAGGGATTCAAATGTATTTTACTGTCCTTTTTTGTCAACAATCCACACACAGTTCTCTGTAATGTCAAAGTGGAAGAAATATTATATGATAAAACCCCCCAAAAAACACTAATATATCTTGATTAGATAAGTATTCAAACCCCTGAGTCATTACATGTTAGAATCACCTTTGGCAGCGATTACAGCTGTAAATGTTTTTGGGTAAGTCTTTAATAGCTTTGCATACCTGGATTGTACAATATTGGCCCATTATTCTTAAGAAAATGCTTCAAGCTCTGTCAAGTTAGTTGTTGATCATTGCTAGACAACCGTTTTCATGTTTTGCCATAGATTTTCAAGACCATTTAAGTCAAAACTGTAGGCCAAGCAGGAACATTCAATTTTGTCTTGGTAAGCAACTCCAGTGTATATTTGGCCTTGTTTTTTAGGTTACTGTCCTGCCGAAAGGTGAATTTGTCTCATTTACATTACATTTTAGTCATTTAGCAGACACTCTTATCCAGAGCGACTTACAGTTAGTGAGTGCATACATTTTTCATACTAGCCCCCCGTGGGAAACGAACCCACAACCCTGGCGTTGCAAGCGCCATGCTCTACCAACTGAGCTACAGGGGACCTTGTACAGAGATCAAGTTCATTATCTCACATCTCTGAAAATATGTGTAATGTTGTACTTCTTGTTCACAACATTTATGCTACTTTTACACAATGGTTACGATTCAAATGGAGTTTCCCATCTCCTCAAAAGTATCTCCCAGTGTCTGTTGGAAAGCAGACTGAACAAAGTTTTCCTCTAAGATTTTGCTTGTGCTTAGCTCTATTACGTTTCTTTTTATCCTAAATATTTCCCTAGTCTTTGCCGATGACAAGCATACCCATAACATCATGCAGCCACTACCATGCTTGAAAATATGAAGAATGGTGCTCAGTGATGTGTTGTTGGATTTGCATAACACTTTTTTATATTCAGGACAAAAAAATATTTTTTGCCGTATTACTTTAGTGCCTTATTGCAAACAGGATGCACGTTTTGGAATATTTTTATTCTGTACAGGCTTCCTTCTTTTCAATCTGTCATTTAGCTTAGTATTGTGGAGTAACTACAGTGTTATTGATCCAGCCTCAGTTTTCTCCTATCACAGCCATTAAACGCTGTAACTGTTTTAAAGTCACCATTGGCCTTATGGTGAAATCCCTGAGCGGTTTCCTTCCTCTCCGGCAACTGAGTTAGGAAGGACGCCTATATCTTTGTAGTGACTGGGTGTATTGATACACCATCCAAAGCGTAATTGATAACTTCACCAATCTCAAAGGGATATAGGTGCCCTTCTTTGCGAGGCATTGGAAAACCTCCCTGGTCTTTGTGGTTGAATCTTTGTTTCACTTCTAAACTGAGGGGGGACCTTACATATAATTGTATGTGTGGTACAGAGATGGGGTAGTCATTAAAAAATCATGTTAACCACTATTATTGCACACTGAGTCCATGCAACTTTTTGTGTGACTTGTTAAGCACATTTTTACTCCTGTACTTATTTAGGCTTGCCATAACAAAAGGGTTGAATACTTATTGACTCAAGACATTTCAGCTTTTCATTTTAAATTCATTTGTAAAAAAAATAAAAAATAAAATACATATCCACTTTGACATTACATTTACATTTACATTTTAGTCATTTAGCAGACGCTCTTATCCAGAGCGACTTACAGTTAGCGCATACATTATTTTTATCGAACCCACAACCCTGGCGTTGCAAACGCCATGCTCTACCAACTGAGCTACATCCCCTGCCGGCCATTTTTATGAGGTATTGTGTCACAAAATCTCATTTAAATCAATTTTAAGTTCAGGTTGTAACAACAACGTGGAAAAAGTCAAGTGGTGTGAATACTTTCTGAAGGCACTGTATCTGCTTCCCATGTCCTCTCCCCAGTGTTTTTATTTCATCATGTTACTCACCAATCAACTGCACTTTGATTCTTGTAGGCTATTTCCCCTCCAGTATAGGCCTATTGAGTAGATTTAAACCATTGTCAAATCCTAATACCTTAGTTCAATAGATAACAGGTAATTATGAGCAAACATTTGAAGGGGTAAAATATGTGTATGTGGTGTGTTTTGTAAAGTGAGCAGAAAAATTATTTTATGAAGTGAGATTATAAAATACAGGCATATACATGTGCAGAGTGGTGTGATGGCGTCTGAGTAGCCTACTGTGTGGAAATGCGCCTTGGCTATAGATCTAGCATTTGACCTCGTTCTTTGGGTCGATTTATCCAAGTTTCTTTGAAACAGGTCGGTTATGTTGAGAGATAACGGGTCGGGGGCTGAGGAGATGGGGACGCTCGCTCCTCCCTTGCGTTGTCTACCTCCTCTCTCTGCTACAGCGCATTTCCACTGCTCGCTCCTAGCTGCGCTCCATCCTTCCTCCTCCACTGACTCAGGCGCCAAACTGTTGTGCACGACTCACTGTCAGACTGTAGTGACCTCAGTGCACTGCTGTGAAGGAGATTTACCTATTTTATTAAGTTCCGTGTGTTTTTGGCTCGTCATTTTGTCACATTGTCCAGTGGAATAGAAATAGTGTCGGTGTGCGTCAAGAGGTGATGAACGGATAGCCTTTGATTACTTCTGGAGTGAACTTGTATTGCGTGTTCATGCGGGGACAGTCCATATCTATTTTCGGACGATGGCAAAGGCATTCTCCGTCATGACTTTACATCTCGTAGGCATTATTATGGGAGTCAGCAGTGTGATTGGTAAGATGAAACAGAAAGAATATTGGTCAAATTGATTCAGTTTAATATGTCCTGAAAAAATCTAACGGCTACCTTAATGTGTTTCAATTGTGGTTTATTATAAGTTTACTAACACTAACAACTGTATTTAGATGTTTATTAGAATGACTTAAAATCATTTTAATGATTTTTTGTTAGGTATAAAAGTCTAAAATCTCAAATGTTCTATCTCACTAGGGCAGTAGACAATATAATAGAACATAGTTGAATGATTGATCATCAATTAGTAGAAGTTGTGTAATAATTGGTAACATCCACCAGTGCACATGCCAGGTATAAAATGTGATGCATTAGATCATTGCAATGTGTTCTCTTGTGATTCTCTTGTACAATTCCTCTTGGCCCCACATTCTGTTGTGGCTCTCATTCCCCCTGGCCCTTGGACCTCAATCCGTTTAATAATCCATTCTGATTGGAAATCACTTCTCTTGAGGCAGTTTAGCAAATTAAGTAAGGGCTAAATATTCCACATTTCACCATGTAGCATACATGTCCAGGCCCTCACTGGCTGGAGGGCTGTATCCTCTAGAACAGGAACCCCACCTTAGGTGACATAGAGCTGGCCTATTGAGCCTGACCCAGCCCATCTGCCTCGGCTTCCTGTTTTGACACAGCTCCACTTCGCAATTTGCTGCAGAATAGCCCCAGAGTTAATAGAGTCCATGCCATGGGTGCAAAACATTTCTCCTGTCTGTGGTTTCCACTGTTGGGATGATTCAATAAACTGTATTTTATAATTGACTTATGGACATATTATTTTGTGTTCTGGCTATCAACATTCTAGTTGCAGAGAATAAACTATTATGTTTGAGGAATCTGGCATCACCCTACCAGAGTGCAACACTATACATGGATTCTGGGATTTGATAGGAGAGCAATAACCATAGTTGGAACCATTGACCATCTGATTTCATGTTCAGCCGTCACTCCCACTCAACACATTTCTATACACATGATTTAAGGTTGATTTGACATGACAGTAAGCAGTCGCATATTGATCTCCACTGTGTGGTAATGCTGACTGAACTGTTGAGATAAGCCAATCATCAGGGTGATTGACTGGCTGTTTCCCCTCTATTCCTACAGCGTTAGAACTCCGGTTCATGCCTGAACCCCCAACACTGAGCATCCAGGACAAGGTCCTCAGGATCAACACATCAGACTCGTTGGACATCACCTGCAGGTAAGACATACTGGAACCTGATTGGCCTCTCTCCCACAGAAGCCTCCATACAAGTCATCCATCCATCCAAATGTTCCCCTACTAACGATCATCATTGTCACTCCGTTCTTTGGTTCTACAGTGGCCGTCAGTACCTGGAATGGACCACATCCTATAATCGCATCCGTGCCGGCAGTCGTCTCTCCACTGTAGACTGCAGTGGGTCAGGATTCTTCTGCACCACATTACACATTTCCTCGGCCACTGTCAATGAGACTGGAGAGTATCGGTGCTCCTATAGAGACCTGGCTGTGAAGGATAGCAAAACCTCTGTGGCCGTTTATGTCCATGTGCAAGGTGTGCATCATCATTACCTCACTCTACCTGATCTGTTACAGTGCCTTCGGAAAATATTCAGACCTTTTCCACATTTTGTTATGTTACAGCATTATTCTAAAATTGATTAAATTGTTTTTTTCCATCATCAATCTACACACAATACCCCATAATGACAAAGCAAAAACAGGTTTTTAGAAATGTATGCTAATTTATTACAATGGGAATATCACATTTACATAAGTATTCAGACCCTTTACTCAGTACTTTGTTGAAGCACCTTTGGCAGCGATTACAGTATTGAGTCTTCTTGGGAATGACGCTACAAGCTTGGCACATCTGTATTTGGGGAGTTTCTCCCATTCTTCTCTGCAGATCCTGCAGATCCTCTCAAGCTCTGTCAGGTTGGATGGTGATTGTCGCTGCACAGCTATTTTCAGGTCTCTCCAGAGATGTTCGATCAGGTTCAAGTCCGGGCTCTGGCTGGGCCACTCAAGGACATTCAGAGACTTGTCCCGAAGCCACTCCTGCGTTTTCTTGGCTGTGTGCTTAGGGTCGTTGTCCAGTTGGAAGGTGAACCTTCGCCCCATTCTGAGTTCCTGAGCGCTCTGGAGCAGGTTTTCATCAAGGATCTCTCTGTACTTTGCTCTGTTCATCTTTCCCTCGATCCTGACTAGTCTCCCAGTCCCTGCCGCTGAAAAACATCCCCACAGCATGATGTTGCCACCACCATGCTTCACCGTAGGTTTCTTCCAGACTTGGCACTTGTCATTCAGGCCAAATACTTTAATCTTGGTTTCATCAGACCAGATAATCTTGTTTACCATGGTCTGAGAGTCTTTAGGCGCCTTTTGGCAAACTCCAAGCAGGCTGTCATGTGCCTTTTACCGTCTGGCCACTCTACCATAAAGGCCTGATTGGTGGAGTGCTGCAGAGATGGTTGTCCTTCTGGAAGGTTCTCCCATCTCCACAGAGAAGCTCTAGAGCTCTGTCAGAGTGACCATATGGTTCTTGGTCACCTCCCTGACCAAGGCCCTTCTCCCCTGATTGCTCAGTTTGGCAGGGCGGCCAGCTCTAGGAAGAGTCTTGGTGGTTCCAAACTTCTTCCATTTAAGAATGATGGAGGCCGCTGTGTTCTTGGGGACCTTCAATGCTGCAGACATTTTTTGGTACCCTTCCCCAGATCTGTGCCTCGACACAATCCTGTCTCGGAGCTCTACGGACAATTCCTTCGACCTCATGGTTTGGTTTTTGCTCTGAGATGCACTGTCAACTGTGGGACCTTATATAGACACGTGTGTGCCTTACCAATCATGTCCTGTCAATTTGATTTACCACAGGTGGACTCCAAGTTGTAGAAACATCTCAAGGATGATCAATGGAAACAGGATGCACCTGAGCTCAATTTCGAGTCTCATAGCAAAGGGTCTGAATACTTATGTAAATAAGGTATTTCTGTTTTTAATATATCATACATTTGCAAACATTTCTAAAAACCTGTTTTCGCGTTTTCATTATGGGGTATTGTGTGTAGATTGCTGAGGACATTTAAAAAAAGAATCAATTTTATAATAAGGCTGTAACGTAACAAAACGTGGAAAAAGTCAAGGGGTCTGAATACTTTCCGAAGGCACTGTATATGTACAGTATGAATTACATACTGTATGTTGTTGGCTCTTATTATGTCTTAAAACATCTTTATGTATTTGTGTTTTATTTCAGACTTTAAAGTGCCATTTGTGCCCTCTGACAAGGACTATGAGGTTGTGTTTATCAGTGAGGGAGTGCAGGTCATCATCCCATGCCGAGGGTCTGTGGAAGATCTCAACGTCACGCTACATACCGTAAGGACAGATCCACTGACTTTATTGTCCTTTTGGGGGGACATTTAAGGCATACTTGTTATATTTAAAAGACATTAAAACACAGAACAGTATTACAGTATGGGATACATGCAATAGATTCTGTTCAGAATGGAGTAAAATTTCCTGAAGTTATTCTATTGTGTCTTATTTTGTCTAAAGTTGACAACTAAGCCTTCTTCACTTCCAACCCACCTTTCCTCTAGTCTATCTGCATAATGTAGCAAACAAAGCCAGTTGGTAAAGGCCTTGCTCTCTCAGGTATGTTTTGTTAGACTGCAGGCTATGTGAGTGGCAGATAATGTCATCGCGGATTCTGAATAGAGTCTGTTGCATTGTTTCCATGTCAGATCAGGGGAACAATAAACTGAGTTTCCATTTCCTGTCTGGGTTGTCCCCACCTCTTCTCCTGGACAGATCAGTCAATATCTGATCTCTGGGACCTCATATATGGCCTGTAAGGTTCATTGGACATTTCACTGAAAATGAGGGTTGGAAAAACCACAACACCCTCTGACCTAGCGAGTGCTGACCAAGTGGTAAAACATCACTCATAATTTCCATGTGAGGGTTGGTCGGTCAGCACCACTACATAGAGTCAACCAACATAGAACCTGCTTTACTACATTTTGTAAAATCGATGAATTTGTGATATCTGTAATTTTGTATACAGTGGGGAAAAAAAGTATTTAGTCAGCCACCAATTGTGCAAGTTCTCCCACTTAAAAAGATGAGAGAGGCCTGTAATTTTCATCATAGGTACACGTCAACTATGACAGAGAAATTGAGAAAAGAAAATCCAGAAAATCACATTGTAGGATTTTTAATGAATTTATTTGCAAATTATGGTGGAAAATAAGTATTTGGTCACCAACAAACAAGCAAGATTTCTGGCTCTCAAAGACCTGTAACTTCTTCTTTAAGAGGCTCCTCTGTCCTCCACTCGTTCCCTGTATTAATGGCACCTGTTTGAACTTGTTATCAGTATAAAAGACACCTGTCCACAACCTCAAACAGTCACACTCCAAACTCCACTATGGCCAAGACCAAAGAGCTGTCAAAGGACACCAGAAACAAAATTGTAGACCTGCACCAGGCTGGGAAGACTGAATCTGCAATAGGTAAGCAGCTTGGTTTGAATAAATCAACTGTGGGAGCAATTATTAGGAAATGGAAGACATACAAGACCACTGATAATCTCCCTCGATCTGGGGCTCCACGCAAGATCTCACCCCGTGGGGTCAAAATGATCACAAGAACAGTGAGCAAATATCCCAGAACCACACGGGGGGACTTAGTGAATGACCTGCAGAGAGCTGGTACCAAAGTAATAAAGCCTACCATCAGTAACACACTACGCCGCCAGGGACTCAAATCCTGCAGTGCCGACGTGTCCCCCTGCTTAAGCCAGTACATGTCCAGGCCCGTCTGAAGTTTGCTAGAGTGCATTTGGATGATCCAGAAGAGGATTGGGAGAATGTCATATGGTCAGATGAAACCAAAATATAACTTTTTGGTAAAAACTCAACTCGTCGTGTTTGGAGGACAAAGAATGCTGAGTTGCATCCAAAGAACACCATACCTACTGTGAAGCATGGGGGTGGAAACATCATGCTTTGGGGCTGTTTTTCTGCAAAGGGACCAGGACGACTGATCCGTGTAAAGGAAAGAATGAATGGGGCCATGTATCGTGAGATTTTTAGTGAAAACCTCCTTCCATCAGCAAGGGCATTGAAGATGAAACGTGGCTGGGTCTTTCAGCATGACAATGATCCCAAACACACCGCCCGGGCAACGAAGGAGTGGCTTCGTAAGAAGCATTTCAAGGTCCTGGAGTGGCCTAGCCAGTCTCCAGATCTCAACCCCATAGAAAATCTTTGGAGGGAGTTGAAAGTCCGTGTTGCCCAGCGACAGCCCCAAAACATCACTGCTCTAGAGGAGATCTGCATGGAGGAATGGGCCAAAATACCATTAACAGTGTGTGAAAACCTTGTGAAGACTTACAGAAAACGTTTGACCTGTGTCATTGCCAACAAATGGGATATAACAAAGTATTAAGAAACTTTTGTTATTGACCAAATACTTATTTTCCACCATAATTTGCAAATAAATTCATTAATAATCCTACAATGGGATTTTCTGGATTTTTGTTTCTCATTTTGTCTGTCATAGTTGACGTGTACCTATGATGAAAATTACAGGCCTCTCTCATCTTTTTAAGTGGGAGAACTTGCACAATTGGTGGCTGACTAAATACTTTTTTCCCCCACTGTATATCTATTATTATTTTTTGTGACCTTTTCATCAGAAGTTTCCCAAGAAAGAACTCTATCCGAACGGGAAGGATATTTTTTGGGATAGCATGAAGGGTTTCTCAGTTCCCAGTCACCTGATCAGCTATGCTGGAGTGGTCTTTTGTCAGACACACATACACAACGAGACCTACAAATCACCTCTCTACATTGTTGCTGTTGTTGGTAAGTGGGTTAGGTTTTAGTTTAGTGTATGAATCCTGTTTGATCCCCTCTATGCATCACTTAACTTGCCAAGGTCTCATTCAAAGTGTCAATGTAAGTTTGTGTTTATTTGTGTTTACATAACTTAATGCATGTGTGTGTTTATCTAAGTGTATTGTCTGCATGCATGTACCCTGTGTGTGTTTGTGAGTCTCAGGTGAACAATAGTCTGCTCACCGCTCCGCTGTGTCTCCCCTCCCTTCTTCGCAGGATATAAGATCCATAACCTCACCCTGACGCCGGCACATGAGAGGCTGTCTGTGGGGGAGAGACTGGTGCTCAACTGCACTGCCAACACAGAGCTCAACGTTGCCATTGACTTCACCTGGACACACCCTCTCAGCCTGGTCAGTATCCTGCATTGCCCACCCTTATAGACCGACTGTGATCACTAAATTAACATGAAATCACTGACTTAGGCTTTATTGACAGACATGTTACTCATCACACTGCTTTCAGGAACTTTTTTTAAAAACACAACTTCAGTTCAAGGCTGCCCTTATATAATTCATGGTATCATCTTCTCATGTACACTTAGGGGAGACTGGGGTAGGTTGCGACAAATGGGTTAAGTTGAGCCACCCTTGTTTTTAGGAAACTGTCACGATCGTCGAACACAGAGGACCAAGGCGCAGCGTGGAATACGAACATACTTTTATTTTTAATGATCGCACGAAACAAAACAACAAACGATACGAAATGTGAAGTCCTTGGTTACAATACAAACCATACGGAACAAGATCCCACAAACACTGTGGCAAAACAGGCTACCTAAGTATGGTTCCCAATCAGAGACAACAAGCAACAGCTGATTCACGTTGCCTCTGATTGAGAACCACACCGGCCAACATAGAAACAAATGAACTAGATAAACTCCCTAGCACACAAAACACATAGAAACCACACACCCTGGCTCAACATAACAGAGTCCCAGAGCCAGGGCGTGACAGTACCCCCCCCCCAAAGGCGCGGACTGCGACGGCGCCAAACATAAACCGAACAGGGGAGGGCCGGGTGGGCATTCCTCCTCGGAGGCGGTTCCGGCTCCGGGCTTGACCCCCACCCTCCAACAAACCCCCAAAAGCGCCCCTGGTCCGATCTGGCCCTGCTGGCCGGAGCTGGACTGAACACTGGTGGAGTGGATTGCTCTAGCTCCGGAGTGGAGCAGCTGACCGGTGCCAGACCAGGCACCGGTGGAACAGGCACGGGCTGTGCCGGACTGACGACGCGCACCACAGGCTTGGTGCGGGGAGCAGGGACGGGCCGGACCGGGCTGACGACGCGCACCATTGGCTTGGTGCGGGGAGCAGGGACGGGCCGAACCGGGCTGACGAAGCGCACCACTGGCTTGGTGCGGGGAGCAGGAACAGGCCGGACCGGGCTGACGACGCGCACCATTGGCTTGGTGCGGGGAGCAGGGACGGGCCGAACCGGGCTGACGAAGCGCACCACTGGCTTGGTGCGGGGAGCAGGAACAGGCCGGACCGGGCTGACGACGCGCACCACAGGCTTGGTGCGGGGAGCAGGGACGGGCCGAACCAGGCTGACGAAGCGCACCACTGGCTTGGTGCGGGGAGCAGGAACAGGCCGGACCGGGCTGACGACGCGCACCACAGGCTTGGTGCGAGGGACAGGAACAAGCCGGACCGTACTGGGGACACACACCACTGGCCCTACGCGGGGATCAGGAATGGGCCGGACCGGACTGGCAACACACCCAAGTACCTCTCGCCGTGCCTCTACATTCTCCTTCCCCCTGGTGACCAGTGACTCCCGTAACCTGGCGGCCTCCTTTGCCAACCCGCTGAACCACTCTATCCCGGCCTCCTGCTGCCCCGTCGTCCACGGCGTGAGCCCCTCCCTAAAAAATTTCTGGGCGTCTCTCCTCCCCGTGGGCCAGGCCTCCATGGCTCTCGCCAGACTCTCGCTCCTCTGCTCCCAAGTCCAGCCTCTCTCCTCCTCCCGCGGCTTGACCCAGTCAAGGTTGATGTCCTTTAGAGCCCTCTCTGGCGTTGGCTCCTGGACACGCTGCTTGGTCCGGTTATGGTGGGATCTTCTGTCACGATCGTCGAACACAGAGGACCAGGGGCGCTATGGGGGGTTTGTTGGAGGGTGGGATCTTGTTCCGTATGGTTTGTATTGTAACCAAGGACTTCACGTTTCGTATCGTTAAAAATAAAAGTATGTTCGCATTCCACGCTGCGCCTTGGTCCTCTGTGTTCGACGATCGTGACAGAAACAAACACAAAATTAATCATTTGATCAAATATTTAGGAAGAGGTCATCATTTCATGGAGTCTGTGAAGGAAGAAACCACATGGAAAAAGTGGTAAGCAAGTTAGATAAAAGACAAATACATTTATTGTATTAGAGGTTTCATGATGCTTGTATCTAAACCAAAGTAGATAATTGTAAGATTGTTCTATACAACAGTTGGGGTCTCTATAAGCTTCAATATGAGGTCCTAAACCTAGCATGAAAGTGCATCCTTGTAGCTGTGTGGGCTAATATAGTCTAAATGTTTGCCTTGGGGTAAGTTGAGCCAATGGTTGAGCCAATGGCAAGTTGAGCAAATTGAGGTGTTTTCTTCCCAGAAGTAATGCAAGGCATTAGTGCTGGGATATGAGGTAACAACAGGGCTTGGCCTATGTTAAAAGTGTTTTAAAAAGTACAAAGTATTTGTTTGGTGTTACGCCTGTGTTAAAATATGTTAAAAATGATTAAAAGACAAAAAAGCGATTGTGATTGTGAAATGTGTAGGCAGCTTAACTTACCCTGTCTCGCGGCTTAATTTACCCCATACCCGGACAAGCTATATTTTCAAAACTGTAATGTTTACATGAATTCATACTATTTCCAGGGATACACAACATCCTGAAATATATATAGATATCTTTGTTAGAAAGAATACTATATTTCCCTTGACAGAGTGATGCTGAATGTAGAAAATTGCTCAACTTACCCACTCTCCCCTATACCAGTCTTTAGGTTGATTTATGGAGCTCTTATCCCCTCGCTCTCCCTTCTGCCCCTCTTGCAGGCCCCAGTGAATGGCTCTGTGCGGGCCTACACCACGTCACACAAGAAGAAGCTGTGGAACCATCTAGAGCTTTCCAATAAACTAATAGTGGAGAATGTGACTGTCAACTACACAGGAGAATACAAATGCACAGCCTCCAGTGGACAAATGGTCAAAAGTGCATCTACATCTCTCATGGTCTATGGTAGGTACACCAGGTTCTTAGTGATTTAAGCCTCGTCAGTTGTCCAAGGTACATAGTCCGGAGGTTTTGCAGAGAGTTTGCGGATATCCTCTTGTTGGTTTAGATTGAATATTTCCCCTGCTCAGTTTTTTTGGCACAATAATCCATTATGTTATTTTGTGACATTGAATTGTTCTGATGACGTTTGTGTTGTTTTTGTTGTCATTAGAAAAGCCTTTTATTGTTTTCGATGACCACAAGTGGGTTAAGGTTCTGGGGGTGAACGTTAGCCAGACCACTAAGATACCAGTCAAGTTCGACGCCTACCCAGAACCTACAGTCAGATGGTATGTTGATCATGTACAGTAATTATATATATACTTGCAGTAGTTTGTATTGTATTCTAAGTAATTTAAATGTAACCTGTCCTTAATTCTGCAGGTACAAGAATGGCCAGCTTATCAGTAAGGATGACTATCGATTTAAACCTGCCAGGGACTCTCTCACAATCCTTGAAATTACTGAGAACGATGCTGGGAATTACACCGTGGTCTTGACCAATAAGATAAGAAAAGAAGAGAAGAGTCGCTCTGTCCAGGTCTTGGTCAATGGTATGTACCTCCTCTCTACCATTCCTCTCTCACTACTCTCTCCAGTTTTCTCTTCCTCTCCCCTCTCTCTCTTCCCTCCCCTTTGTCCTATAATTTCCCCCTCTCTTTCTCCTTTATACTGTACCTCTGTCTTAGACTTAAATTGTGATGTGACCATTGCCTCGTTCATACTGCTCTTAGCCCAGGGCCATGTGGAGTTTGCACCTGTCAAGTCTTGGTTCATGTCTCCTCAGTCCGTCCCCATATCATTGAGAAGGGGGTTGCCATGGACATGGATGTCCACATGTATGGCAGCAGCCCCACCCTCAGGTGCACCGCCCGTGGAATCCCCACCCCCACACACATCCAATGGCAGTGGATGTCCAGAGAGGACTGCCCAATCATCTTCCAGTAAGTCTCACATTCACTGTGTGTGTGTATGTTCGTGCGCGTGTGTGTAACCTCACCCTGATGCTCCTCAGATGGTCATTGTCAACAGGTTGTTGATTCTGTGGAGGAAATACAGCATTCTAGATGTTGATGAAAGCATTAACAGAGTCAATGAGTGTGCCCTCTGACTTGCATCAGATAAGTGGATGTGCTTCATACTTCTCACAGTAAGTTGTGTGCATAGACTGAGAAAAACATGAAGACCAAGCTTATCTTTGTGTGTTTGTATGATGTTGTATGTGTTTTCCATATGATCCCAGTATTATCTATGGATTATGTTTAGCCTTGTATTCAAGAGAACTTTGATGATTAAGTCTCTTAGGAAGATTGTGATTGGGTAAAGCTGGGGCTTTAGAATGGGTTGTGATTAGTGAATGGGCCCCTCAGGTATGCAGTAATGTGAGGATTGTTGATAGAGTGGTTGGAGTGTATGGTCCAGTCCACTGCACATACCATCAGTAAGGCCTTATCTTCAGCCTGCACATCCAAGCACTTCCTCAGTCCTGGTCAGGGTTTCCTGTTGTTCCCATTGCAATACTCTGTCTAAAGGCTTCTTCCTGTGAAACCCCATCTCTACCTCCTCGTCTTCCCTCAATCCTTCACTACCACCACTCCATCACTCCAATCATCTCTAGCTCCCCGTTTTACATTTACATGTTCCCTCTCCACTCTACCACTCTACCACTCTCTCTCTCTCTATCTCTCTCTCTCTCTCTCTCTCTCTCTTTGTCTCTCTCTCTCTCTCTCTTTGTCTCTCTCTCTCTCTCTCTCTCTCTCTCTCTCTTTGTCTCTCTCTCTCTCTCCCTCTATTTCTATGCTACTCTTTTCTCCTGCTCCTTTGCTTGCGTTCTGGTCGCTACTGTAGTGGTGTGTTTGTTGACGGTCCTACCCACTCCAGTCTGTAAATAAATGACATAACCTCTCCTGAAATAACCATCTCCCAGCTGAGAACAGGGACCAATAAACCCATAGACCAGGGACCTACATATTATATTTATAAAGATCATAGTTGTCTTTTTACATTTGTGTGTGCATGTTTATTTGTGTTTGTGTATGTACGGTGCTGTGCTTATATGGATCTTCTGTGTCTGATTATAGCAGTGTGTCAGTTGAGTGATCTTGGTTTTGTCCTGCAGGTCAGGAGTGGTGAACTCTGGGGTCAAGCTGGAGGGCTGTACCAAATGGAGGGACATCAGCAATACCACAGGGCAGGAGAATCCTATCGATCGAATTAGCACTAACACAGATCACTTACACAAGGTCAAGACCATTCCTTCCTCTCTAAGTGATCGCAGTCATTTATGATATCAATTAATCAGTAAAATAACAGTAAAGCTCATGTTTGTCTGCAGACTGTGAGTTCTCTAAAGATCCAGAAAGCCAAGGTCCACGCCCTCTACAGATGCTTGACTTCTAACAAAGCAGGACAAGATTCACGAAACATCCTTTTCCATGTGACACGTAAGCTTCTTTTTATGTTTCTTCTGTTCTTTTTGTTTGTGTTCATTGGTGCATCATGCACAGGCCGTGCACAGACCTTTGGAGGGGCAGGTGCTCAAAGTGAACCCCCGCCCCCTAATTATCCAATTGTCCTGTAGCCACATTTCTGCATACATATCTTTTAGCATAGGCCTTTATTTCCTTCAAAATCACACTCATCAAGCTAGCTAGCTATGCTGTTGAAACAATCTAAATTAGCTAGTTTGAAGGGCAATTCATAGACTAAAAGTGAAATAAAAATGTAATTATAAAAAAACGCATCCAATCTGAAAGTGCACTTTTCTAATAGGAGGGCAAAAGGGCAGGTGCTCAGGCACCCTTAGACCTCTATCTGTGCACGTGCCTGATCATGCATTAGAACACCTCATGATTGTGTGTGTGTGCGTGTGTGCATGATTGTTGGCTCTACAGGTGGTCTGGAGCTGAGTGTGTCTCCGTCCCAGCAGCCCATTGAGCAGGACCAGGTGGTTCTGAGGTGTAAGGCAGACAGGCTGTTTTATGGAAACCTAGCCTGGTTCCGTGTGGGGAATGTGTCTGACCCAGAGCAGGTCCCAGCCGTGCAGCCCTGTCAGGCACTGTTCCTGTCCCAGGGGCCCCTATCCCAGGCTGTCCTGTCTGGCCTGCAGGGCACCAACGTCACCCTGGAGCTGCCCCTGACCAACGTGTCTCGGGGGGACGAGGGGGTGTACGCCTGCCAGGTGGAGAACATCAAGACTCGGGAGAGGACCTGTCTCCTCCGACACCTCACCCTCAGAGGTCTGTACCTGGACCATATTTATCAGTCAACTCCTCCACAATCACTTGGACCACTCTAACAGGCCCTTAACCAAGGTTCTCTCATGGGCACCGCATCTTTCCAGATCTAGTCTAGTGTTTGGGAGAATCTTTAGAGTCTTTTCTCCTTGTTTTTGTAGCTCTCGAGGCTGCGAGGATCCTGAACAATTTGACAGACCAGAGAGTGAACGTCAGTGCGACGACCATGCTAATATGTGAGGTGACCGGGACACCCACCCCGACCGTGATGTGGACCAAACACAACCAAACAGTGGTGGAGGGCTCAGGTAAGGGCATGACCCAATGGTTAATAATACCACTTCTACTTTGTGTTACGTAAAGTACGATACTGGTATTAATGCCATGGTCTCTTTTTGCCACAGGTGTGATTCTGAGCCGATTGAACCGTACCCTGACCATCCAGCGTGTGAAGAAGGAGGACAGTGGTCTGTATACTTGTACTGCCTGTAACAGCCGTGGCTGCGACGCATCTCAGGCCTACCTAATCACTGAAGGTCAGTGACCGCACTACGGGAAACTGAATCACAGCACCACAGGACAGGAAACACCACTAATCACCCTGCAGACATGATGCAGTATTACAGAATGCCTGTATGTTCTGTTCTCTGGTGGTGTAACCATAACCAAAAGATGGCACAGCCATAACCAAAGAGGGATTCATACCACAATGAATATGTTAAGTTTTAACATGATGTCTTACCCATAAACTCAGTCTTACCCAAAATGTCCTATATAGCTAGGCCATTCATTCATTTATTGATTTATTTATAGCTGGCCTCAAGGTTTCCCTGATTCACTTCCCACTTAAGACATTTTGTTATATCAAAGATGAAGTGTATAAATAGCTATTCCTCCGCGGGGCAGGAAGCGGGCCCGGTTAGAGCACATCCTCCTGGGAGTTTCAGAATACAAAACAATCAGAAGCCCAGCGAGGACAAAGGGAGAGGCCAGCCCTGGCCCCCTGCTCCAGCTCCCCTCTCCCCCTGTTCTTTTAGAACACTGAGACACAGCAACAAACAAACAGACGTGCAGAGAGTGAGCAGCCTGGGCCTACGTGACCCGGGCCCCGCCACAGGCCAGTGGCCACTTGCCCGTCACCCAGTCAGAGCTCAGGGTCTCTCAGGCGCCAGACAGCGAGCCTCACTAACGAGTCAGGACAGAGGACAGAGGCTGCCTCAGCTCACTAACGAGAAGTTCATCTTATACGTGGGCGGAGGACGAGAGAGGGATATTGGGAGAACAAGATAGAGAGAAAATGGGATAGAGATGGAAAGAGAGAGAAGGTGTACGGATGGCAATGTTAACGATGGGGTAGATCATTAGAGTTCTACAGCTTGTAGTCACAGATTTCTGGTGTAATGACAGTTTTTTCCTAGGTTGACTTTGGTCAGAGTGGTGCTGACCCCAGAACATTTGTTATGACTAGATAGAATAGCAGGTCTGCTCACAGCCTGAATTCCAACAGTGGCCTTCCTCCAATACAAACACGCACACAGACACACAGGTTTCCTGAAACCGTGTTCCTCCTAGCTTGGTACTAGGCAAATACTCAAAATTCCAAACTGACAGAGACAATCTATTTCAAAAGAAAAAACACAGAACTATGAAAATTGTAAATGAAATACAATTTTGTCAAGTCATTGACATTAGATCTGACTGACATGCTGAAAGCTGTCTGTTATGAAATAGTTTTAGAAAAATATGTTCTGGCTGACATACAGTGGGGAGAACAAGTATTTGATACACTGCCGATTTTGCAGGTTTTCCTACTTACAAAGCATGTAGAGGTCTGTAATTTTTATCATAGGTACACATTAACTGTGAGAGACGGAATCTAAAACAAAAATCCAGAAAATCACATTGTATGATTTTTAAGTAATTAATTTGCATTTTATTGCATGACATAAGTATTTGATTCATCAGAAAAGCAGAACTTAATATTTGGTACAGAAACCTTTGTTTGCAATTACAGAGATCATACGTTTCCTGTAGGTCTTGACCAGGTTTGCACACACTGCAGCAGGGATTTTGGCCCACTCCTCCATACCTTCTCCAGATCCTTCAGGTTTTGGGGCTGTCGCTGGGCAATACGGACTTTCAGCTCCCTCCAAAGATTTTCTATTGGGTTCAGGTCTGGAGACTGGCTAGGCCACTCCAGGACCTTGAGATTCTTCCTACGGAGCCACTCCTTAGTTGCCCTGGCTGTGTGTTTCGGGTCGTTGTCATGCTGGAAGACCCAGCCACGACCCATCTTCAATGCTCTTACTGAGGGAAGGAGGTTGTTGGCCAAGATCTCGCGATACATGGCCCCATCCATCCTCCCCTCAATACGGTGCAGTCGTCCTGTCCCCTTTGCAGAAAAGCATCCCCAAAGAATGATGTTTCCACCTCCATGCTTCACGGTTGGGATGGTGTTCCTGGGGTTGTACTCATCCTTCTTCTTCCTCCAAACACGGCGAGTGGAGTTTAGACCAAAAAGCTCTATTTTTGTCTCATCAGACCACATGACCTTCTCCCATTCCTCCTCTGGATCATCCAGATGGTCATTGGCAAACTTCAGATGGGCCTGGACATGCACTGGCTTGAGCAGGGGGAACTTGCGTGCGCTGCAGGATTTTAATCCATGACGGCGTAGTGTGTTACTAATGGTTTTCTTTGAGACTGTGGTCCCAGCTCTCTTCAGGTCATTGACCAGGTCCTGCCGTGTAGTTCTGGGCTGATCCCTCACCTTCCTCATGATCATTGATGCCCCACGAGGTGAGATCTTGCATGGAGCCCCAGACCGAGGGTGATTGACCGTCATCTTGAACTTCTTCCATTTTCTAATAATTGCGCCAACAGTTGTTGCCTTCTCACCAAGCTGTAGCCCATCCCAGCCTTGTGCAGGTCTACAATTTTATCCCTGATGTCCTTACACAGCTCTCTGGTCTTGGCCATTGTGGAGAGGTTGGAGTCTGTTTGATTGAGTGTGTGGACAGGTGTCTTTTATACAGGTAACGAGTTCAAACAGGTGCAGTTAATACAGGTAATGAGTGGAGAACAGGAGGGCTTCTTAACAGGTCTGTGAGAGCCGGAATTCTTACTGGTTGGTAGGTGATCAAATACTTATGTCATGCAATAAAATACAAATTAATTACTCAAAAATCATACAATGTGATTTTCTGGATTTTGTTTTAGATTCCGTCTCTCACAGTTGAAGTGTACCTATGATAAAAAATTACAGATCTCTATATGCTTTGTAAGTAGGAAAACCTGCAAAATCGGCAGTGTATCAAATACTTGTTCTCCCCACTGTACTTACATAATGATTGAATAATGAAGAGATAAATACCCTTGTACAGTGTACTGTAGTTCATATACTGTCATTGATCTCACTCTGGTTATTGTATTGATTATAGGAACGGAGGAGAAGACTAATGTGGAGCTGATTGTTCCAATTGGCTCTGTGGTCATCGCCATGTTCTTCTGGCTACTCATCGTCTTCGTCATCCGCAGCAAGAAAAGAGTAAGACTACCCTTCTCCTCTTCCCCAGAACCTTTCACTCGTTTTCACAATCCTGCCACACACTACCCCACACACACTATGCTACACACACAGTGGGCTGGGTCTGACAGATGAGAAGTGACTGGTCTAGCTCTGTGTCCACACTCCTTTGTATTAGGGAACAACAGAGCCTCATTCTGCTGCCAGAAGTCACATAGCCCTCCCTCCGTCACTGGCCTGGCCTGGCATGGCCTCTCACTGATGGGCCAGAGAAGAAACTGAAAGGGGACTGAGGAGACTAACACATGACACATGACAAAAAACTCCAATAGTGAAACACATGAGGGGGACTGCCATGGGTGGAAGAGCACGGTTGGTCATTATTGTGAATATTCATGTCTGTTTTCTCTCTCTCACTCCCTTCTCTCTCTCTCTAGCCAAATAATGGGGATATGAAGACAGGTTACCTGTCCATCATCCTGGACTCTGAGGACATGCCCATGGACGAGCACTGTGAGAGGCTCACATACGATGCCAACAAGTGGGAGTTCCCTTGTGACAGGCTGAAGCTAGGTGAGACTTTCAGATCCTTATAGGTCAAGGTTCTGTGAGAAAGAGATGTTATACACACATTAAGTGAGACTTAAGTTTTATATCCACTGTCTGAAATGATACATGGTGTGTTTAAAGGGGACCAATTGGGGCAAGGAGCTTTTGGACAGGTAGTAGAGGCAGCTGCCTTTGGCATAGAGAAGGCCAGTACCTGCACCACAGTGGCAGTCAAGATGCTGAAAGGTGAGTGCAACTCCTTCTCATCCCCTACACACATGCAAGCAACACACACACACACACACACACACACACACACACTGAATGAGCTGATTGAGTGTTATCTCTGTCCAACACAGAGGGAGCCACCTCCAGTGAGTACCGTGCGCTGATGTCAGAGCTGAAGATCCTCATCCACATCGGCCACCATCTCAATGTGGTCAACCTGCTGGGGGCCTGCACCAAACCAGGGAGTGAGTCATTACATTATGAACACACACTAACACATTTCATATTTCACATATTTAATATTTCACTTTCCCCATGCCAATATCCTCCACCTTTCTTTTTTATTTCTTTTTCTCTCTGGCCAATTCTGGTTCTACCTTTCTTGGCCCCCCTTCCTCCTCCTCGTCCACTTGTGTTCTGCACATTGTGTTCATCAGGAAGTATCTACTTTGTTAGCGGTGAGAGGCGGAGTTTAACAAGCATGCTCTGTCTGTCCTAATTGTATATCTCCTCAACCCCAGAGAGGAGGCCATGTTCCGGCAATTGGAGAAGAGGGCCTCTGTTTCCATGTCCTCTCTCTCTTTCTCACTTCTTCGCTTTCCACACAAACATTCTACAGTGCTACAATAAAGTGATGATCTTCCTCTGATGTTTAACATTTTCTCCCTCCATCTCCCTTCGTCCCTCCCTCTCCCCTCAGGTCCATTGATGGTGATTGTGGAGTACTGTAAAAACGGCAACCTTTCCAGCTACTTAAAAAGCAAGCGTGGAGAGTACAGCCCCTTCAAGGTAAATGTGCCGTGCCCCAGCTACAATAGCCTGTAAAGCCCCGCCAGCCTCTGATATGGTTACACTGGTCCCAGACCATTACACAACTGTTCTCCACGACACTCTCACATTGTCTGCCTGATCCGCTGAACTGCCAGCTTCCATTTTATGTTGTATTGTTAGGGCCAGGAGTTTTCCAGCCCAGTTTTTCAATTGGATTTTTGGTCCTTGATCCTTTGATATGCAATTTCTCCATGGTAACAGAGGAGGAGGCCGCGGTCTAATCAGTTGGAGCGGATGGGGGAGGACGTGACTGAGGGGGACCTGGGTTTGGGGACCAGCACCCACCTGGATATCTGCACTGGGACAGCAGTCTGCTCCAGACTGGGAGAGGAGAGCGCTGTCAGCCACATAGAGGAGGAGGATGGTACTGCAGCTCTAAACCTCCATACTCACCACATGCAAATACTGTACATATCACCCATATCCACCACTGCGCTGATCACAATGTATACTGTATGATGTGATGATGTAAACTCACCACTGTATTTGTTATGATATGTATGCTTTTACTAAATGATCAATTTAACCCCATGCAGAGTATTGTGAGTGGGAGGAGCACCTGACCGTGGAGGACCTGATCAGCTACAGTTTCCAGGTGGCCAAGGGCATGGAGTTCCTATCCTCTCGCAAGTGCATCCATCGGGACCTGGCAGCTAGGAACATCCTGCTCTCAGAGAACAACATTGTAAAGATCTGTGACTTTGGTCTGGCCAGAGACGTCTACAAAGATCCCGACTACGTCCGCAAGGGAGATGTAAGTTACTAAGAACACATTATAAACCATGCATTATAAACCTCAGACACTAAAAGTGGTTATGACGTCTTATAAACTGTGCTATAAATTGTGATTCTCTCTACAGGCGCGGCTCCCTCTGAAATGGATGGCTCCTGAGACCATCTTTGACCGGGTCTATACCACACAGAGTGACGTGTGGTCCTTTGGGGTCCTACTCTGGGAGATCTTCTCTCTAGGTGAGCCAGGTTACCAACAGTACCGCTGTTGTGTCCTGTGCACGTGACAAACTTTGATTTGATTAACCCTAACTGTAACTGATAATGTAACGGTTGTTCTCTCTACCACAGGGGCATCGCCCTACCCTGGTGTTGGTATTGATGAGGCCTTCTGCAGGAGGCTGAAGGAAGGGACCAGAATGAGAGAGCCAGACTACGCCACCACTGAGATGTGAGTGGGCTAATGAGAACATAGTACAAGTTATTACATACAGAATCCTACTATTGTCACGATCGTTTACGAACGAGAAGGACCAAGGCGCAGCGTGATATGCATTCATATTTATTTCACGAATAAACGCACAACCAAAACAACAAACGAACGTGACGTTCAAGGTAGACAAATAACATACCTCACACGGAACAAGATCCCACAACTAACAGGTGCCAAAAGGCTGCCTAAGTATGGTCCCCAATCAGAGACAACGAGCAACAGCTGCCTCTGATTGGGAACCACACAGGCCAACATAGATCTACACATTCTAGATCTTAAACATAGAACATCAACATAGCAAACACAACACAGAAAATACACACCCTGACTCAACAAATACAAGTCCTAAGAGTCAGGGCGTGACACTACCCCCTCCCCCCCCCGTCCCAAAGGTGCGGACTCCGACCGCGCCACATAAACATAACAGGGTAGGGGCCGGGTGGGCACTCCGCCTCGGAGGCGGATCCGGCTCCTGGCGTGACCACCACTTACTCTCCACCTCCCTGTTGCGCCCCTGGTCTGGTCTGGACCTCGGCGCGCAGCTTCCCCTCTCCTTCCTCCCACGACGTACCAAGACCTGTCTGGACCCTGGTGTGGGAGACCCCGAACCTGGAGAGGGGCTGACGTCTGGACTGGAACCGCTGACTGGAGCTGGATCAGGCACCGGTGGAGCGGATTGCTCTGGCTCCGGAGTGGAGCCGCTGACCGGAGCTGGACTAGACCCCGGTGGAGCGGATTGCTCTGGCTCCGGAGTGGAACAGGCACGGGCCGTGCCGGACTGGACACACACACCACTGGCTTGGTGCGGGGAACAGGAATGGGCCGTGCCGGACTGGACACACGCACCACTGGCTTGGTGCGAGGGACAGGAACAGGCCAGACCGGGCTGGCGACGCACACCACTGGCATGGTGCGTTTCTCCTCTCCTACCTGGGCATCCTCATTCATCGCCCTCCGGTAATGGACGGCCTCCTCCTCCGTGATTCTCCCCCAACCGAGGAGGACATCTACTAACGTAACCTCCTGTTTAATTCCCGGCGTTTGCTCCTGAACACGCTGCTTGGTCCTATTTTGGTGGGATCTTCTGTCACGATCGTTTACGAACGAGAAGGACCAAGGCGCAGCGTGATATGCATTCATATTTATTTCACGAATAAACGCACAACCAAAACAACAAACGAACGTGACGTCCAAGGTAGACAAATAACATACCTCACACTGGTCTGGACCTCGGCGCGCAAACACAACACAGAAAATACACACCCTGACTCAACAAATACAAGTCCTAAGAGTCAGGGCGTGACAACTATGTACATTAACATTGTTGCATGAGGCTATAGATAACTCGATGTGGACCTAGTGTATTATAGTGCATTATAAACCCAGTAGTGTTGGTCCTGGATGCTGATTGGCTGAAACCGCATTTTAGCCTTGTGTATATCTGACAATATACCACAGGTATGACACACAAATAATTGTTTATTGTTTTATGTATGTTGGTAACCAATAGGGATGGGCATTTGAAATAATTTCCCTATTTGAATAATATAATGAAATGTTTTTGGATATCCAAGATAGTCGAAATACGTGTAAAAAAATACGTTTGGGAACTGGCTTGCTGCGCAGCCTGCGCCACTTGGGAGAGAGGTGCAGCTCAGTTTGCTTGCAGCAGTGCGGGAGATGGGCAGGGGTCGGTGTGTTTGACACGGGAGGGAGAGAGGGGGAGAGAGAGAGAGAGATCACCCATACAGCCTTGCGATAGTTAGACATCCCATCTTGTAATGCTTGTCTTTACTGCATCAAATTGATGTAAAGAAGCTAGCTAAGATAGCCAGGTATGTTAGCCAGCTAGCTAGCTACCTAGGCTAATTGAGGCTATTTTGCTGCGTTTCCCATCCATTCAGTTTCATTGTTTAATCCGTTCAGATTAAACAACAGCATTGCTGATGGTTGCTCATTGTAGCCTACTCCTTCTCAATTAGCTAACTTAAATACGTAATTTTTATCCATTTTGCATTGATTAGAGATCTCCCACGTCTCCTTGCTACACATGGAGCCTCTGACTGTAGTGCCATGTTGATTAGCCAACAATAACAACAAACGCGTGAAACCCGTATAGTCTACAGTATGTATTTTAATGGGGTGCACCATAGGTCATAAAAACTACATTCAAATGTTTGTTGTTTTATTAAATTAAGAATTTCAAATGTCATGGTATGTCCTTGTGTGTAACAATGTCACATAGATAATTTAATTTAATTTAGACACAGCATTTTCATTGTTAAAATAGGCCTATGATTTTTTCTTCAAAAAAATGTATACTATCGCAAGTATTCAAATACTAATGTCAGTTCGGATATTAGAATATTTGAATAGCCTTGCCCATCCCTAGTAAACAGTTTATTATAGCAATAAGGCACCTCAGGGGTTTGTGGTATATGGCAAATATACCCTTGGGCCTTTTTGCTTAAATGTAGTGATTTGCTCTCTTAGATATCAAACCATGTTGGACTGCTGGCTGGACAAACCCACAGACAGACCAAATTTCACCGAACTCGTAGAACATCTGGGAAACCTCCTACAGGCCAGCGCTCATCAGGTGACTGTGATTGTGTGTACATGTATACATGTGTTTGAAAAATGTTTTGGGTATAAGAGGTATGGGCGTGTCTTCATCTTATTGTGTGTGTATGAGATGAGAGAGTGAGGTCTGAGAGTGTAATTGGTGTGTGTTTATCTTCAGGATGGGAAGGACTACATCCCTCTGACAGCAGTGGAGGTGGAGGGGAACTCACTCAGCCCTGAACCCAGGAACCCCTTCACCAGGATCATCAGAGAGGAAACCCCCGACCCCCAGATACACTACGACAACGCACCCCCGATCACCCTCGGGTCAGCAAGCATGCATCACATTGATGTGTCACAAATGAAACCCTCATTTAATGGACTACCTTTGCACAATTTGTATGAACACTTGTTAGTTGTTAGATTAACTTGTGGGGCCGAGCTGTTGACCCTCCCCTCACTGCTCCTTATAGGCTCTCCCAGCAGAGTGACAGGTGTAATCAACCACTCAGTGTGAAGACCTTTGACGACATCCCTGTGGAGCATAGCATCATCATGGTGAGTGTCTCCATGGTCACACACAGTGTCCCTCCCCCTCACATATCAACAGCCAATGAACAGAGTCCCTGTGGGTGTTTCCTACAGGAGGGTCAGACGGACAGCGGTATGGGCCTATCACCAGAGGAGATGAAGAGTCTGGACCATCAGCCTCACCGCACGCCCAACTTCAGGTGAGTTCTCAGGACTATAACCCCCAACCCTAATGGTGTTGTGTGATAATCAAGACTCTCATGGCATTGGTATATTTGTTTGTTACTATATTTGTTTATTTAGTTATAAATTCCTCACGTCCTCCCCCAGCCACATCCGGCGATGTAAGAGTAAGGAGTCCCTGGCCTCTGAGTCGTCCAATCAGACGAGTGGGTACCAGTCAGGCTACCACTCAGATGACACTGACGCCCCCATTTATGCTAATGAGGAGATGATCATGAAGAGAAGCATTCAGAAGAAGCCGCTGCCGCCCAAAACAGCAGGCAAGTTCAGTGTTGAGGTGCGCTACAGTGCACCCCCTGTTTTTATTCCCTAATGGTCACCACCATCATCACTAGCACTGTTCCCCTCAATGCCCACAAAATTTACCCCTCTCCTTGAGCCTGGTTTTGTACAGTTTACCCTCCCCTTAGGCAGCACACAGAAGGACCCTCGGGTGACCATCAGGAACAATCACATCACATGTAATAGTGCCTTATACATTTAATTGTTTATTCTGTCGAAGTATTTTCATAAGAGATAAATGTAATATATTCAATGGGATTGTTAAAGGTTGTATGCTGTAGAAAACCCTCTCTCAGGCCCTGGGACACAGAGACACAACTTTGGGACTTATAATTCTGTGTGACTTCTAACTGCACCAAGTAAGCGCCCCACCCCCGCTGGAGCCTAAACCCGCTGGTCATAAACTGGCACTTCACACCTCTGTTGCTAGGCCGGGTTGCCTTATCACACCGTGGGGTCAGCTAATCACAGGCAGTTATTTGGGGTCACAGATCCCCAATTCCTGCCTCTTTCTCTTAGTCTTCAGCAGCAGTGGCAGCATGAGGAGCTCTCTCAAACCTCTACCCTGCACACCAACAGCTGGGCCACAACCCAAGGACCTTTCTACTGCAGACCTAGACTTTCCCAACACACGCTAGTGTTAGTGCAAACCACTTCTACTAGTCCTACCTTGCTACGTTGGTGTGTGTGTGTTAAGTGAGTGCAATAAAGTGTGTTCTGTACATCCGTCTCCTACTGGTCATTACCACGCCTTCAAACAGAGGCGTCGGGATGATTGTACCTATATTTAACTGGCACCTCTTTCGGAGACCGCCACTACGCGCTCTTTTTCATCTGTGCTAATTCATGTTTGTTAAGACCACTGTTTTTAGCGAGCATTTGGAATGCTATCATGTTCACACAGAAAATGGAAGGTCAGTGGAACCTAGCCACAGGGCCACACCCACTTCCTGAGAAGCAATCTGCCCACTTCCTCTATTGCAGGAAATGGCAACTCTAATTTGAGACAATTGAATGAGCAAATGTTTTCTTTCTTTTTCTGTCAATTGTGTCTTATTGGACGAAGCCAGTCTACATCATGTGGTTTTATCAAATGCAACACCTTTCCATTTTTGTAAGGAAAGGTTTATATCAGATTATTTTGCTTTTTCTAGATTGTTCTTGCCTCTCAATTGTACAGTTTATTACAATTAATGTTGTCTTTGTTATAGTTCTTACCTTATTTTATTGAAACCAATATCTACTTTACTAAACTTGTAAATGTAACTAGTTTTATAAAATAAATATATGTGCGTGCGTGTACATGCGCAGACCCCTCTTTTCCTGTCTCTGTCAAATTTACCCTGAGGTGACAATACTTTCCCATCTTGGCTATTCTGTATGTGTGTGTGTTTGTATAATACCTTGGGTATTTTCTTATGTATATCCAGCCTTTAAATAGATGCTCAGAATAGCCCAGACAAGGCCTGTGTGACATGGCTCAGAATGGTGAGGGCAATGTAAAAAAACATTTTAATTCATGCAGATCTAATACCTGTACAACTACTTTGGAGCCTTGATACTAATTGTGGCAAGTTTGTAACTGTTTTGTGTTCAGTTATTTGTTGTGAGTGGGCATCTTTACTGGGTTCTGTTGAGGTTTATTTGACCTCTGACCCGCACTGTGCCAGGAAGTAAAGCTGAAAATGTTCAGACTATTTATTACAACCCACCATTTCAGGATGAGTTCAAAGAACAGCATCTCACTATAACCTTGAGGACATCTCAGAGCATGTAATTGCACACACACTCTTGTAACAGTGCATTCTCAATACCACAGCACTCAGAGCCGCTGATGACCGTGGATCTGTGGTTAACGAGTATAGAGGTGCTTCCCTGGGAGTGTGTGTAAGTGTTCATGAATGAATATTTGTCCTCAATCAAGGACAGCACTCTGTTTAACTATAGCATACCGGAGGAAATGTTTTGCAGCAGTAGAGGAGCTTGTTTTCCACTTCTGCACAAACTACTGTGGAGTAAATATATAACACCAAAACTCTCATCCGTCCGTTAGTCGGAACTCTGAGCTGTAGTTCTGCAGGATCTGGTAGTTCCGTTTTATGGGTTTCAGGAAATTGTATGCAGTTCCACTCATTGACTATAGATGCCTCTGTCTCCTGTGTCTTGTCTGTACTCGAGATAGCAGAGCTATAGGACCCTCTGCTGTTTGAATGGAGAACACACAACATCTACATGTCTTACTCTGGTCCTGTGGGGAACTGGTGTGCATGTTATAGTGCACATGCATGCATGCGTGTCTGTGAACCTGTTTCTGTGGGTGTCTGTCTGTCTGTGATTAGGTCAGAGTTCCGGTAATGTCTATTGTTTGGTAAAATAATACACCATTTTAAAAGAAAGGCTGCAAATGTGTCGATACAAATGTGTTTGTTGGTGAAGAGAGTAACGAGACACACAGACACACTCATACAAAAACAGAATATTATAAGATTGAACAGCCCATCCTTCTCTGCTTCAGGAACTCTGTGTAATTTCCTCTGGAATGGACAAACAGGCCCTGGGCATAGTTCTGCACCACCAAGAAATACCTTGGCATATATACACAGACACAGGCCTAGACCCTGACACAAAACACACACACAGACACACACACACACACACACACACACACACTTACTTGGCTAGAAGACCGGACATAAGACTCACTGGAAGACAATTGGTCTGTCCCCTCTGGAAATGGATATCTATTGAATGCATGTGTATGTTAGTGCACGTCTTCCAATCTGTCTGTCTGTCTATCCTCCAACAGGACATCTCACTGGAGCCATAGAGAGCCATAAACCCACATAATATGAGTATTTAGTTTACGAGCAGTTGTGTTTTATTGGTTACGTTGAGAGGTTAGCAGGTTTAGTGGCAGGTCAATTGGTTCAACCTATTTATGAAGTCGTTTTATTACATCCGTAGAGTACAACCTTTCCTCGCACAGGATGAGGTGCAGGTCCTAATCCAGGCACTCGTCTAATCCCGTCTGGACTACTGCAACGCTCTGTTGACTGGGCTCCCCTCTTGTGCCATCAAACCCCTGCAAATTATCCAGAACAGCACAGCCATCTGGTGTTCAACCTTCCCAAGTTCTCCCATGTCACCCTGTTCCTCCGTACACTCCACTGGCTGCCAGTCAAACCTCGCATTCACTACAAGACCATGATGCTTGCTTAGGGAGCAGCAAGGGGAACTGCCCCTACCTTTAGGCTCTGCTCAAACATTACATCCGAACCCAAGTTCTCCGTTCTGCCACCTCTGGTCTCTTGGCTGTCCCACCCCTACGGGAGGTCAGCTCCCGCTCAGCCCAGTCAAAGCTCTTCTCTGTCCTCCTGGCACCTCAATGGTGGAAGCAGCTTCCCCCGATGCTAGGATAGTAGAGTCCCTGCCCATCTTCCGAAAATGTCTGAAACCATACCTCTTCAAAGACTATCTTAAATATAACGTCTCCGTCTTATCCCCCTATTTAGCGTCTGCTAAATGACTAAAATATAAATGTAAAAGGTCATTTTATTTGGTTGTACATAAGTCAATACAAACTCAAATTTCAAACAACTTTGATCAAATAAAACAAATCTGTAATTTCAAATAAATAATTAGGTCAAAATTCTATAAAAAATATGTCATTCAATTAATATGTCATTAAATCAAGAATAGGCTAATCAAATTATCAATAAACCAAATCAAAGGCAACAAATCAAAATGTCACACACAAAAAGGAAGGAAAATTCAATAAATCCCTATCAAGGGGATGAAATAAAAAAAATACACGTTTTAAAAAGGTGTACTTTCACAGTTGGTTTATTGTCTATTCGTTTTGTCTGTTGGGTCATACCTCTTCTTTGGTCTTGTTTGGTGTTTGTGTCTGTGTGTTGAGGAGGGGTTGGGTCTGGGCTTGTAGTTGCTGAATGGAGGTGGCAGTTGTGGTTGGTCGGTGCTGTGTCTAGGGTTTGTGCTGTTGTTGGGACTAGAACCTAGAAAAACCTGGGTTGGTGCTTGGGCCGGGAGTAGAAGCCGTGCTGGTGCTGGGGCCGGGACCGGAAACCATGGGTTGGTTCTGGGTCTGGTGCTGGGACCAGGAACTGGGTAATAGGAACCAGGAACGAGGAACCAGGATTAGTGCAGGTGCTGGGTCTGGATCTGTGTCTGTAGAGGGGTGGAAGGACAACCTGAGGAGCAGGCAGATACACAAGGAAGACCCGAAGGTCAGTGATGGTACTCCCATTTGGCCTGCTTGGTCTGGGCATAGGTCTAAATCTTTGGTCCTTCCACCGCACCTCTTCTGGTGTGGTGATGAATAATTCCTGGTTCTGGTCTGGTTCTGGTTCTGTGAGAAGGATAGGTGTAGAGGAAGGAAGAGGGAGAGAAGTGGAGAGGGAGAAGGGGGTGGGGGTGGGGGTGGGGGTGGTGGAGGGTATGTCCATCTGCCTGGGCTGGTGCTGGAGGAGGAGCGATGCGGCGGCAAGGCTGGAGGCTGGGGGGAGACAGTTATCTGTGGGGGTAGGGGTCATTGGGGGGCCTGCGTGCTGATTTTGATTTTGGGGTTGTTTTGTTGTCTGGTCTCTTGCTGGTGTGTTGTTAGGTCTTCCTTTTCCGTTTTTCGTTTGGATTTTGTGTGTTCTGGCCATAGTGGTTCTTCTTCTTGACTGTCAGAGGAGTAAAGGAATTGTGAAAGGAGGGAGGGTTTCTTTTGGCGGTGGGCTTGGGAACCGGCTCCCCTCTGGCCTGGGGTTTGAGGGGGGTGCTGGTGGCCCGGAAGTGGGTAATGGTTGATGGGCTGGCAGGGGTTGGGATCGTTTCTGGGGAGTCTTGGGTGGGGGCAGAGGTGGGGGCAGGGGTGGGGGCCGTCTCTGGCAATTCTTGGGTGGTGGTAGGGGTGGGGGCTGTTTCTGGGACGTCTTGGGTGGTGGCAGGGGTGAGGACCGTTTTCGGGATGTTTTGGGTGGTGGGTTGGACGGTGCCTTTGGAAAGGTCTGGTTCTGGGACTGG